GCCCATGGGGAAGTGAGTGTGCCCTGGGCCCACCCGGGGGCTGCCCATTGTGGGGAAGGGATGCTCCAGACAGGGGAGGGCCTGACATAGTGGTCCTGCGTCCAGGGGTCCTGCCAGCCATGCTAGCCCCACACCCAGCAGCCCACGCTCTGCACGGGCCAGGGCTCCGCAAGGGAGAGGTGAAGGCTGCAAGATTCGTGCCACTCTGGCTTCTCCAGGAAGATGGAGGGCACCTTACCTCTGTGGTCCTTCTTTCTTCCCTCCAAAGATCTCCCTGAAACATCCACTGCCAGGGGCACCGCAGGCTTCCTCTGGGAACCCTTTCCAGGCCCTCTCCCCAGGGACCACACGTCTCCATTTCTCTGCACCCTTGTAGGGTGGATGCTGACATAAGCTACTATATACTTCACTTGACTATGTGCCTTAGATCTGCCTTCCTTTACTGTTTTACATTCCTAGAGAACAGATGACTTCCTGGATATCTTCATCTCTGTGCCTCTAACCTCCACCCAGTGTCCAGCACCTCTCAGGGCCCAGAATCTTAAAGTGCCAAGGAGTATTTGTTGAATAAAATAAATGTTGAACATTTCTTCAAATGTTCGGTTGAAGAAAAGAAGGTCCAAAGAGAGGAAATGGCTTACCGAGCATCACACAGCATGTCAGGAAGTTAAACTTAAACGGAGTTGTGGAAATAAATGAAGACCACCCAAACGGGAACAAGCAAACGATATTTATTCAGAGTTTATAACAGCAAAGGAGCTGGCCATAGTCACTTGCATTTGGCAGAAACTCAAAGTACGCAGAGAAGTGGGAAAGCTTTATAGTAGGAAAAAAGGAGGCTTCGGGTGTGATCTGAGAGGAGATCTATTGCCATGAGGGTTGGCTAGGAGCAAAACATTGTATGCAACTGGCCAGGGGAGCATATTAATCAAACTCTGGCTGTTTGGGGATACGAGGGTTATTGTGGCTTCCCGGACTCGTTGACACAGATAGTAGTCTGACTTGGACTGGTTAGTGCAGATCATGCATTACCTTCCTGGGCTGATTGCTTGAGGTTGCAGGTCAGAGTTCTATTTTTCTATATGGTCTGGCCATTATCCATATGTATATTCAATCTCTTCTATGCACATAATTATTCCCCTTCCCTTCACCCCATAATCAGAACACTCTTTGGGTTTCTGCCTGAATCGGTGCTTCCTGAATAGCTATTCTTTGATCTTAAGTGAACACCGGCTGCCTGGCACTTCAGCTTTTTATTTTTAGGTTAACACCGATAAATGCGTGGGCCGGGTTATCAAGAGCCCAGCGGCCATAAAGGAGTTCCCTTCAATTCTTGGAAAAAAGAAGAAATCTTGAATGCTAGGAAGGCAAAGGAACCATAAGTAAGCCCATCCCTAACTTAAGTGAAACTATTACCCAATCTAAAGGCAGAGTGAAATAATTTCTCCCCTGCACCTCCAATCCAACGGGACGGCTGTTGCATTCTGGGGTGAGGCTGTGGGCAGGAAGTGGCAGGCATTGGGGGGAGCAGTCGGTATCCTCTAGAAGAGGAACAAAGGGCAAAAAGACTGGGAGGCTGGCGGTGCAAACGGACTAGAGACCGCACAGAGAACCCCAATATAGTAACCACAACAGATAAATGGAACCTCCTGGTCGGTGCCCAGTTGCTCAACATCCTGGGCCATATATGGATAAAGGCGGAAGGACACCCAAACAATGCGGGGGGGGGGGCGCTTCTGAGAACCCCCACGAATCCGGGCCAAGTGGTGGCTTCTCTCAACGTGCAAGTTAGAATCAGCGGTGATGGGAGGGAAGGAGGCCCCCCTCCGCTAGTCCTTCTCCAAACCCAGAGAAGAGATAGAAGAGGGCGAGGCAGGCAGGGACGGGATCCCAGGCGGGTGTGGAGGGTGGAACACCGCAGACCTGGGCGGAATGCAGCTTGCTGACCACGCCCGGTCCCGACAAAACGGGCAACCCAACCGGGCGGGAAAAAAGGGTGCGGGGAGACGTGAGCTTTAAAAGGTTCTACGGCAGAATTCTTTGAAACAACCAAGCAGAAGCCAGCAGAGCACATGTCTACCCCTAGACTAGGAAACTTAACTGGCCACGCGGTTGGGCCCGCTCCCTGCTGCTCCCTATGGCAGGGAGTCTGTCTATGGTCTCTATGACCGCTTACCGTCTTTGTCCGGGAACTCATTCTTCAAGTTTGCAAGACAACGAACTCGGACCCGAACAGAGACTTTGACATCACCAGCCCCACTGCCTTGCTGACCGCTCTGCAGACGAACTGGCAGGCACACAGCGCTTTGGCGCAAACGCTCCACGAGGGACCCCTAAACTAGAGCGCAGGCTCCATGGCCGGAAGTGCGTCACTGCTTTTCCGGCAGTGGCCCCTCCCCCCGCCGCCGCAGCCGCTCTAGCACGCCCGGAGGCCGCCACTGCGTGTCGTTGGTCCTTTCAGGCCGTCCCGCCCGCCTCCGTCACCCCGCCCCTGCGATCTGGAGCGCTGCCGCTGAGAGTGGGAGGGAGGCGGAGACCCGTCTCGGGGTCGCCCTGCTCCGTCGAGATCGCTGGCCCCGGTCCACTCGGAGGAGTTGGGAGACCTCCGACGGGGGAAGAGCCAGGAGTCCCTGCCGGTCCCTCTGGCCGCCCCGAAGTCTGGATCTGTTGGCAGCAGTGGTAAGGGCACCTGTGGGGCCAGACTGGGACCCGGGTTCAGCAATCTCAGTACTTGAGTTCAGAGCCAAGACTCGAACTATAAGAGAACATTTATTTATAAGATCACAGAGTTAGAAGAAGTAATTGGTAGAAGAAATGGGCTTATGAAACAAGTTATAGAGGCAAAGGAAGGGCCCTTGGAGCTTAGAAGTGAGGGAGGTAAAGGTGACAGGCCTGGAGAGGAAGGGGAGGGGGGGTGCAGGCATGCCCACAGGAGGGAGAGATTGGATCCTCCCTCCTAAGGGTTTTAAGGTGGAGATTTTAGGGGAGGTCCCAGGGCAAGATCTCAATAGAAAATTCAGCAGCTTTCCAGGCGTGTCCTTTCAGGGCTGTGGTCTCCACCGATGGATTGGCCAGCACCAGGGCAGGGGGTCATTATTCATCGCAGCTGGTCCTGAGGTCAGTCTTGGTGTCTGGTTTTGCTGCTTTTCTGAGCCTGGAGCTGAAACACAACTGAGGCCTAGATGTCATCTGTAGGGAGGAAAGGCCAGGGCGGTCGAACCTCAAGACCAGCCAGTGATATGCTAGGGAAGGAGAGGTCACCCTGGGGATGAGGTCCCAACCTACAACTGTCTGTTGCTAGGCACCTGGTGACCTGCTTGGCCCATGGTCCTTGCTCTGCTCATGTCTGTCTAACTGCCTACCACAGATCCAAACACCCCGTGGCTGGGGAGAAAGGGGCCAATGCAGTGGGTCACAGCATGAATCCAAACAGCCTGGGGAGCCACACCCTGCTGGAGGCTCTTCCCCTCAGCTCTGCAGCCACACTGGCCCAGAGTGGGTGTGCACCCTGTGGCTTAGGACAACCCTCCCATATGCTTGGAGCAGCACACCCCCACACACCTTTATCTCCGTCTCTAGCACCACCACCACCCAACACACCTGGCCTTGGCATCCTCCAGGCCTTCATTTAATTACCACCTGATTAGCCTTCCCGACTCCCCACTCCCCTTCCCACTCCGCTCTTCTCTGGTGCAGCACGGAACACGATTGTAATGATATACTTCTGTGGGCAATGACTGAATGTATTTTCCCTTAGACCAGTGATGGCGAACCTATGACACCTCTGACACGCGAACTCATTTTTTTTGGTTGATTTTTCTTTGTTAAATGGCATTTAAATATATAAAATAAATATCAAAAATATAAGTCTTTGTTTTACTATGGTTGCAAATATCAAAAAATTTCTATATGTGACATGGCACCAAAGTTAGGGTTTTTCAAAATGCTGACACGCCGAGCTCAAAAGGTTCGCCATCACTGCCTTAGACCATAAACTCCATGAGGGCAGGGACTATGTCTGTCTCATTCAGGTTGTGGCAATATTTCTGGCAGTAAATGACCAGTAAATATCTGTTGAAAGGATAGATAGGGCTGTTCCAAGGAAGGGGGGAATGAATGGATGAGTGGGTGTGAGTGAATGAATGAATGAAGGTGAGAATGAATGTAAGGTGGTACTGCCACCCATTAAAAACTGGGGGACTAAGTTCAGCTCATTGGAGTTGGCCCACAATTTTCCAACTGGATTCTAAGGCTGGAGAGAGTTAATGGTGCTGAGTTCCTGCTGTGCCCTAGGCAGTCAGAGAGGACTTCATGGAGGAAGAGTGGGGATGTTTCCAGCTCCTGAGGGCATGTGGAAATCCTGTGGTTATCTGAGGAGACAGAGTCCCTGTTTGCAGGTCATTTAGGAAATTAGAGTCATTCGGGGGTGATCAAAAGTGGTTGGATTGAATCTGAACTTCACCTTTCGCAACAATGGGCTGGGCTCTTTGACTGGTATGGACACCAGTCCATACCAGGCGACCACCAGATGAATGGCACAGCCTTTACCTTCTGGGGCCTGCTGGCAGGGAGCTGACACCTCACAGAGGCCCCTATCATCTCTGACATTTCATAATTTCTCAAGATTTCCAGTGTATCCTTGCTAGACAGGTATGCAAACCAGTTGGGCCAGGGCCAGGCCCCCAGGCCAGAGGCTCAGAGACTGAAGACAAATAAGGGGTGGATGTGAAACTTAGTTATTGCTTAGTTATTCTGATGAATGAGATAGCAAATGAATGAATTACTGCACGTGAGTAAATAAAGGGGTGAGTGGTCAGTAGATCATGGAGGTGAGAGCAGAGGCAGGAAGGCTTTGTAGAGGAGATGCTGGAGCTGGTAAGGGGCTGTGACCCTAAGTTACAGGCTTCCTCCTGGTCCCACCTCCTCCTCCTCCCACATGACCAGGCCCTAGCAAGTGCTAATTTCACTTCCACTTACTGTCTCACAGGGTTATTTATTATAACTTGCAGCTGGTAGGGCAAGGTCCGTGTGGGCGGACCTTTCACCCCCAGTTGTCAAGGCCTCCCAAAAGCTCTCTGGACAGTCTGTGCAGAGTTTAACCTGCAAGAGCACAGCCATGCTGCCCTGGGGTCCGGTGCTGGGAGCCCTGCTGGTGGTCATCGTCGGGTACCTGTGCCTGGTGGGGCTTCTCCGGCAGCGCAGGCCCCAGGAGCCCCCTCTGGACAAGGGCTCTGTGCCCTGGCTGGGCCATGCCATGGCCTTCCGGAAGAATATGCCCGAATTCCTGAAGCAGATGCGGGCCAAGCACGGGGATGTGTTCACCGTGCAGCTGGGGGGCCAGTACTTCACCTTTGTCATGGACCCCCTCTCCTTCGGCCCCATCCTCAAGGATGTGAAGAGAAAACTGGACTTCGTGGAGTACGCGGAAAAACTGGTGCTCAAGGTGTTTGGGTACCAGTCCGTGCCAGGCGACCACCGGATGATCCACTCAGCCAGCACCAAGCACCTCATGGGCAACGGCTTGGAGGACCTCAACAAGACCATGCGGGACAGCCTGTCCTTGGTCATCCTGGGCCCCGCGGGCCCGCGCCCGGAGGCCAGCAGCTGGCATGAGGATGGGCTCTTTCACTTCTGCTACAACGTCTTGTTCAAGGCGGGCTACCTGAGCTTGTTTGGCTACACCAAGGACACGGAGCAGGACCTGCTCCAGGCGGAGGAGTTGTTCACGCAGTTCCGTAAGTTCGACCGCCTGTTCCCCAGGTTTGTCTACTCCTTGCTGGGGCCCCGGGAGTGGCTGGAAGTGGGCCGGCTCCAGCGCCTCTTCCACAAGACCCTCTCTGTGAAAGAAAACCTGGAGAAGGATGGCGTCAGCAACTGGATCGCCTACATGCTGCAGTTCCTGAGGGAGCAGGGGGTAGCCCCGGCCATGCAGGACAAGTTCAACTTCATGATGCTGTGGGCCTCCCAGGGGAACACGGGGCCCACCTCTTTCTGGGCCCTCCTGTTCCTCCTGAAGCACCCAGAAGCCATGCAGGCTCTGAGAAAGGAGGCTGCCCAGGTCCTGGGGGAGGCCGGGCAGTCCTTCACCTTCGACGTCAGTGCCCTGCAACGCACCCCAGTGCTGGACAGCGTGATGGAGGAGACCCTGCGGCTGGGGGCAGCGCCCACCCTGCTCAGGGTGGTGCACGATGACCACGTCCTGACGATGGCCAGTGGGGAGGAGTACCGGCTCCGCAGCGGAGACATCGTGGCCCTCTTTCCTTACCTCTCGGTGCACATGGACCCTGACATCCACCCCGAGCCCACCGCCTTCAAGTACGACCGCTTCCTCAACCCCGACGGCAGCCGCAAGGTGGACTTCTACAAGGCAGGCAAGAAGATCCACCACTACACCATGCCCTGGGGCTCGGGCGTCTCCATGTGTCCCGGCAGGTTCTTGGCCCTGAGTGAGATGAAGCTCTTTGTCCTGCTCATGATCACACACTTCGACCTGGAGCTGGTGGACCCCGACGTGCCTGTGCCGCCCGTGGACCCCCAGCGCTGGGGCTTCGGCACCACGCAGCCCAGCCATGACGTGCGCTTCCGGTACCGCCTGCGGTCCCTTGAGTGAGCTCTGCCCAGGGGGCCACCAGCCTGGCCAGAGGGGTTCCCTGGGGGTCTTCGCCTCCTCTCGCCCCTCTGCAGCCAAGACCCCCACCGACCACTGCTCCCTGCGGCTCTGTGGCACCCCTACCTCTGTCCTGTGGTCCTCCTTGCTCTCTTGTCTCCTTCTAGTCACCTCACAGGCTTACCACTCTCTCTCTAAAGCCCCTGCACCGTGGGTTCTGCAGGCCCCCCTGTCACAGGAGTCCAGAGGAAGGGATTGGGAGATAACACAGGCCTCCACCAGTCCTGCGGGATAGAAGCTGGTCCCCACCAGGAGCTCAGCATCTTGCCAATATGACCTCCCCCAGCTCCTTAATTTTCCCCCTCAATACTATTCCATGTCTTCTGGAATTTGCATTCTAGAACCGTGTTGTCCAATAGCAATACGAGGCAAGCCACGTGTGTAATTTTTAATTTCCTAGTTGACATATATATTTTATAAAGAAAAGAAGCAGGGGGTGAGGGGGAGAGAGCTCAACCAATGGACTTGTATGTATGCATCTGAGCATAACCAATGGACACAGACAGTAGGGGGGTGAGGGCATCTGCTGGGGGTGGGAGCGGCCGGGAAGAGGTCAATGGGGGAAAAAGGAGACGCATGTAATACTTTAAACAATAAAGAATTTAAATAAATAAAAAAAGCAAGTAAAATTTGTTTTTATAATATATTGAACTTACCCCCATATATCCAAAATATTAGCATTTCAACATGTAATCAATATAAAGAATACTTTTAGATTTCTTTTTTGGTATTGTCTTCCATATCTGGTATGTACTTTTTTTTTTTCTGGTATGTACTTTTTTAAAAAAATAAATTTACTGGGGTGACATTGGTTAATAAAATATATAGGTTTCAGGGGTACAATGCTATAAAACATCATCTGTATATTGTATTGTATGTTCAAAAATCTGGTGTGCACTTTTCAACCTTCCAGCACGTCTCAGTTCAAGCCGGCCCCATTCCCAGTGCTCCACAGCCACGCGTGGGTAGTGGCCACCAGACAGGACACAGCCGGTAGAGAAATGCTGCCTCCGTGTAGGAGTGATTCCAGCATTCCTCTCCACACCCGGCCTGCCGGGCCCTCCGCTCACTCTGCTGCCAGAGACCTTTTTCTAAAAGCATCTCTAATTGTCACTATTTTATTTTCTGGTTCCCCATTCCCTTCACACACCTGATATTTAAGTTTTGCCCCAGTTGGTCCCCAAATTGTCCATCCAGTGCAATTCAACTTCGCCAGCTCTCCCTGGTAGAACTCTCTAGGTCTAGAAAGCACAGCTGCTTGCTTGTCCTGCCAACCCCAGAGCCGGCTACTCCTGGAAGCCTTCTTAGGTCTGGCCCCATCCCATCCTCTGGCCTCCAGCTGCTGGGGCTCCCCCAGTACTGTTTGCATCACAGCACATCTGTTATGTGTCCTTGCTGTCTGTCCGGGATTCTTCCTCCTGTCGCCCCACCCCCCCCTCCACACACACACACTGGAGCCCATGGGGCTTGGTATCATGTTCCTCATTTCTGACCCCCAATTCCCCAGCTGTGGATTAAATTATAGACACCTGACTTCCAGTCTCGGCTAATTTTACTTCACTTCCTCAAATCACTTCCTTCTCTCCGTGCCCTCACTCAGCTTTCTGGCATATGAACTAGAGACAGTTCCTGTTGCCATGCTTACCAGGGCTGGGAGACAGGGAGGGGATGCTGCCAGAGCTGCAGCTGGCTGATGGTAGGGCCTGGCTGGGGCTGTGATTGTGGGAACTGGTGTAGGGTCCTGGAGGAGGGAGGCCCCAGCAGCATGGACCCCCTGCAAGGACTGCCGAGTGGGGCTTCTCTCTGCTACTCCTCACCCTCACCCTTCACTGTTGAGGTGGCCTATTCTGCCCTGAGTTTTGCCCAGATCCTAGACTAACAGGAGTCTGTCCCCACCAGCTATGTGACTCTGGGTCAGGGCTGGCGTTCTCTGGGTCTAGCTGCCCCAAATGATGACCTACCTGGAGCCTGACCGAGCTTTGACTGGTTCCATCCTGTTCCATGAGGGGCCAGCAGCATACAGAGTTAGTAGGGAGCACAGGAGAGGGAGGACGGGGCTGGGAGGCTGGGGGCTGACCATGGGGGGTGAGCTCCCCAACAACCTGCCCACATAGCCAGGCCTGGTGACGGAGCAGGTGTGGAATGGAGCAAAGTGGCAGGGCCTTCATATTCCTCCTTGTCCCTGCCCAGACCTGGGTGCTGCATCCCATCTTCTGCCCCCACCACCCCCACCCAAAGGACCACGGGCCAGGAGCCTGGCCTGTGGATAGGCTGAGGGCTCCAGTCCACTGAGTCAGGGCCAAGAGTCTCAATTGAGAGCGAACTTTATGGATCCTGTGACCTGTCTGAGGGTAGACTGGGACCGAGGGAAGCCTCAGTGGTCAGGTATGAAGAAAATACAAGACTCCCATCCCACAGCAAAGGATGTCCATGTAACAACAGGCCTCCCAGGAAGCCGTGAGTTCCCAGGATTTGA